CCTTAATGTAATCAGCTCCGCTTTCAGTAAATATTGTAATGCTTGAGACAATGGCATACTGATCTTGGTAAGATATCTTCTTGGTGCGTCTGAGCTACGTTGATTACCCTGTTGTTTTTATTGTTGAACATGCACAGGATTAGAGATTAGCACCGCTCCTACAGACTGATTGCGGTCACTTCTAACACGACCATACTGGCCATAAACAACATTAACTTCTTTCTTTATGCTAAATGTCTTCTTTGGAGCAGTCGACGATGTAGCCACTTGAATCTTTCCACACTTAATACCACTTTCGACACATTCCCCCAGTTAGAATCGGCTTGGTCAAACCAGATGAGACACTTCTGATCAGATGATTAAAGAAAGGCCTTATTAACGTACCCATGGACATATCAACCAGCTCCCTGTCAGATAAAGGAGGTTGCACTCTTCCAACCAGATCTCTCCACTTTTGGGCATACTCTTTAAACCCTTCATTCGAACCCATAGTCATACTTTTTAGTTGCACACGAGTTGGTGCAAGATCAGCATTATATTGATACTGCTTGTAAAAAGGTGCAACTAGGTCTTCCCAAGTGAGGATGTTTGTTCCCTCCAGCTGATAGAACCATTCAAGTTGTGCCCCGAATAAACTTTCTTGAAAGAAGTGAACCCATAACTTTCTATTAGCAGTATGGGGTTGGATCTTCCGAACATAAGACCGCAGATGAAGCTTTGGATAGTGTTACAACTGGTTTTTAAATCAGAGTCGCCACCCTTAATTTTTATCCTAAAGGAAGGGAGTATAAAGGAATAACCCTAAAATTCAGAGATTCTAGATTTTGACTCGGTTCTAGATGAGAGGAAGGTGTTAGGCACCCCTCATCTACCTTGTTTGCAAGGATACTAGGTTTAGAAGTGTGTTCTTAGGAAATAAGGTTTTAATTTTAGTTAGGGGGACTCGCCACGATTATAATCGCATGCCTACTTATCCTCTTAGGAGGAATCAAAGTCCCATTTCGTAGTTCGCGGTTTTGTTTGCATATTTTATGGGTTGTAGAAATGCCTCAGAGTGCAGGTATATTTTCATAATTTTGATTATATTAGTGATACTACTTAATAAAACAAGTTAAACTATATATATATATATATATATATATATATATATATATATATATATATATATATATATATATATATATATATATATATATATATATATATATATATATATATATATTCATTTTTTTCCATGTGTAGTGTCCTTGTCAGCGTAATGGTACAGCTTACGGTTATTTCATGTTGAGGTTTATGAAAGAAATTATTCTTTTGAATCAAATAGAGATTCCAACCATGGTATGGGTTTCTAACTTATGATTGATTTTAATATTTAACACATTTCATCTAATTAATTAGTTTTAACTAAATAGTATTATGTTATATTATGTAGTACTTTGATGAATACAAGTCTTCTACTTACTCGAAAGATCAATTGGACGAAATTAAGGAGGATTGGTGTCAATATTATTGAGATGAGAATTTTATAAGGTATTGTGACACTTTCATTGATGAGCATTTTGAGTATATATAAATTTGAGTTTTGATGAGATATTATGTCGTCATTAGTATGGTAAATTATGTTGCAATGTTGTTGTTGTTATATGGAAGGTTAGTTATGATGGTATTAGATTTAAATTCAAATAAAGTTTTGATTGTATCATGGTATGACTTGGGGAATTTTTAATGATGGGTTATAACTGATTCTTGATTTGCTTTTGTTACATTAGTTTAAGTTAAATTATAATAGTTATAAGATTTAAGTATTATATAGTTTGGTTCTGATATGCCTTTGTTGGTTTTGTTTCAGTTAGGTGCATATATAGAAGATATAGACATAACAAGTTCATTTAGGATTCTTCATTGTTGTTGTTTGTAGATAAGATAGTAGAGAAGATAACAGCTCTAGAAGATAGTTATATGTACATTTGCATATATATATATATATATATATATATATATATATATATATATATATATATATATATATATATATATATATATATATATATATATATATATATATATATATATATATATATATATATATATATATATATATATATATATATATATATATTCAAGTTGTACCAAATTTATGTATATATATTATTGGATTAAAGTTGTATATATAAATATGTAAATTTGCTGCATACTTATTGGATTGAAGCTGCAAATTTATGAAATCTGGTTTATTGGATTAAAGTTGTATATATAAATATGTAAATTTGCTGCATACTTATTGGATTGAAGCTGCAAATTTATGAAATCTGGTGAAAATTTGAAACACAATGCTTATTTTAAGTGATTATTTGTAGAGAGTGCTTTAAATATAAGCTGTATATATTAAAAATCTGTGAACATTAGACAATGCTTTAAACAAAAAACCACTGCCTATAGTGGGGAATAGGAAGCGCTTTTAAAGAAAGTGTTGCATAAAGGGGTGAATTAGAAAACGCTTCTAAAGTAAAAACCGCTGCCAAAAAGGGACTTTACAGAGCGCTTCTAAAGAAAGCGCTGCCTAAAATAGAAAAAAAGTGAACAAAAATATATATTACACAGTGCTTTTAAAAGCGTTGTCTAAAGTGAAAGGGTTGTCTAAAGGGGTGCTGTAGAAAGCGCTTCTGATGTAAAAAGCATTGCCTATAGGGGCCTTTATAGAGCACTCATTGAATAAAGTGTCGCCTAAAGGCTACATTAATCAGCACTTTTACATTGACAAAGAGTGTTGTCTTTACTTACAGCAACGCAGGAATAGGCAGTGTTGTAAAGCGCTGTCTATGGGAAAAAAACATTGTCTATTCCCTTATATGGCATAGTGTTTACCTTTTGACCTTACCCTTACCTAGACTTCATCCGTGAGTGGGGAAGAAATTATTCTTACAGGTACAATTGCTGATCCTCATGGTACTTGGTTCCTTTGTATTCTGATTTGGTGTCGAACCTTTGAACCTGTGATCCTGTTACAGTACTGTGCATTGCATACACATTTCATATCACTTGCATCCTTTGCATTATTCATTCATACATCTAGGTTTTCCAAGATCCCAATCCATATTTTGTCATTAACAAGCTAGCTGATTTCCTGACATTCACAAATGAATCGAAGCATCTCTCAAAGGATCATGGACCAGTTGGAACAAAACCTGTTTGCATTAAGAGGAGACTTTGACTTGTTGAATAATAAGGTAGATCAACTCGTAGAGGTTGTGTTAGTTCTAGAAAAGAGTAGGACAACCCACAATAGTTTGTGGCTTTAGAGAACATCACTTTATCTTAAGTCAACAGTCTTGCTCAACCTCGACTTATTCAGATCCCAGCTGAGAATCTTGCCATACAAGATCATATCTCTGTCTAGGATGGTCATACCTCTTCTCATGATGTTGCTGAGTATCATTGATATTTTTCCCCGTGCTAAATTCCCAAAGTCAAGCCTGGTGGTGAATCCTGAAAGATCACAAGTTGTTGGAGAGCTCATCCTTGGTAGATCAACCACTAGTACATGTTTCTTTCTGTTTGCATTTTCCTTTAATTGCATTGACTCTTAGTTTCGAACTTTGTTTGTACTTTCATGGTAATTTTAATGAAATGCGCATTGCATTATTTTGATTTAATTCACTTTCATTTACTGCTTCCTTTAAAAAAAATATATCTCTTTTTTAGTTTCTTTATCAAGCTTTGGTTTAAGAAAATATTGGAGGGAGGATGATGAAAACAAAATACCCATAACTGTTGTTGGTATGCTTTAAAATAAAAATTTATTGACGATGTAAGACATTGTTTCAATTCCAAAACACTGGAGAAATAAGGAAGTTAATCCCTTGCCAACCCCTTTGAGCCTAAAAGTTGGATTTTCTTTTTATACAAAAAATACGCAATTTTAACTCGGGGATGGGTAGTTTTCAGTTAATTCAGTTGTGCATTCAAATACAATAGAAATCATTCAAGACACCTTTAAATAAAGGTTACAGTACAAGCTTTCCTTCACACATATAAAAAAAAGTGTCCAAGATGTCCTTCAAGTTAAAATCCAGTGATGATTCACTGTAATCATTAAGCAAAGTAGTTAATATCTTTCCAAAAAGAAAAGAATGAAAAATCAAAAGAAAAGCCCGCTAAGTCAAAACCTATAAAGGAGACTTAAGAAAAAAACTAGGGCATCCCGCTGACTGTAATCTCAAATTAAACAGTTCAAGCAAAAGTTAGGAATAACAAAAACCAGAGTTGACAAATGTCCTCAATAAAAACAGAAAATGTTGTAAGAAGAAGTGTCTGCCTTCTCAAAAAATCCCTAGGTTTCTGAGCCATCATCATTACTATCATCAGTACAATTCCAAAATCTCTTTGAACCTGAATGCATAGTCTGAGTTAACTGGACGTAGGACTGAAGAACATCACGAAGATTGGGTTGGATACAAATAAACTTTGAGCCTTTATCCTTTGTTTCAAAAACCGTGAACCGGACCATGTTACAACTCTCAAAAGTCCTAATTGAAACCAAGTTTCTTTTGAAAGCATACTACAACAAGGTTGTGTAAACTGACTCCTAAGATCTTTTGAAAATTATTTGTCTTGGTATCATACCTTTGCTTTCACTTATAATGTCTAAATCGTCGTGTTTTAACCAGTGATTCATTTTTCTATATAACATCATTCCAAAAATGATTTTGATTTCAAAACTTTTGCATGAACTTTGCATTAAAATTACCATATTTGAATCAACAATTTTTTCTTGCAAACAAGCTTTCCTTTATCTAGGAAGTTCAAACAGTTGAGAAACTTGGTCAGTGATCCTATCAAAGGCAAATATCTTCCAGATCTTGTTATGAATCAGTTAAAGATTTATTGCTCAATGCAAGTTATTCTTAGAATTGGTCAACCAAAAGATCATTTTCAAGATTCATATTGGGGCAAGCCTTCCGTCAACCATTTTAAAAACTGAAGTCATGATCAGTTTATTCTCAACTTCTTTTGAGGAAATTTCCTTCAGAGATCCAGCAAACTGGGGCAAGAAAAAGCTCCATATGGTCAGGTCTTCTCCATACTTCAAGTTGCTTCAGAATATCCTGTAATGCTTCACTGAGTTTGTAGCGAGTGTTGGGAAATGGAGCTGGAGACACATCCCATAACCTTTCAATCAAAGAAAACCAATCTCTGTTTATCCGTAAAGTAAAACACTCATTGGAATACATGCATTGATAGATCATAACATGTCATGCATCATTTCATGCGTAGTATATCCATAGGTGTGGAGCACTATGTCATGTAACCATAACATTTCATCAGTCAACATATTGAATCATAATGCATAGTTTGAACTACGTTTCACATGCATTTGTATCACAATCATCATACACGCATCCTACATTCTTCTTTAGTGAATCTCGGCAGCAGATTCCCCTGGTTGATCATGACAGTTGATTTCCCAATAGACCTCGACATTAGGTATTTCTCAGCAAGTCTCGGTAGTAGACTCGCCAACAAGTTTCTTTTGAATATATTCTTTGGGATAATCACGATAATAGATTATTCAGAAGACCTTGACAGAAGGTATCCATTTTTCTATGAATCTCGGCAGCAGATTCCCCTTATTAATCTCGACAATAGATTTCCTAGTAGACCTCGACAATAGGTATTTCTTAGCAAGTCTCGGTAGTAGACTCGCCAACAAGCTCCTTTTGAATAGATTTCATGTTGGATCTCATCAATAGATTACTCATTAAACCATGGTAGATGGTGTTTCTTTGATTGGATCTCGGTAGTAGATTCCTTGTTTGATCACGGCGGTAGATTATTCAGTAAACCACGGTAAATGGTGTTTCTTTAATTGAATCACGATAGTAGATTCCCTGTTTGATCTCGATAGTAGATTACTCATTAAACCTCGACATATGGTGTTTATTTGATTGAATCACGACAATAGATTTCCTGTTTGATCTCATTAGTAGATTATTCAACAAACCTCGTCAGATGGTGTTACTTTGATTGAATCACGCCAGTAGATTCTCGGTTTGATCTCATCAGTAGATTATTCAGTAAACCTCAACAATATGCACTTTTTAAAAGATCCCCACAGTGGATTCCTTAATCAAATTCCTGCAACATCCTCCCCAGTAAACCTTGTCTAAAACTTTCCCAACAATCCCACATCCAATGCTATTCTTGGATGTCCCTATCATTTTTCCTGGGTTTAACCTTTTGTTCCAAGTATTCATGGACATTCTGCGTCACCTTGACAGATCTCCAGAAGTATCTTGTGTTTCCCTAGCGTGTCTTCTCACGTCATATCATTCAATCTCCCACAAATTTCAAGTTTTGAGTCTTTTATATATTCCCGCAAAGTCTGTCTCATAGCATACATCATTAAAAAATATGTCAAAAAAGAGTCATGCATCCATTGCATTCTCGCCACACTTCATTCACCTCATACTCATTGCATCTTAGGACAAAATTTCGGATTCTTTAATATTTAATTATCTCCCACAACGATCATATGGAGCTCGATCATCTTCATATCATCTGGTTGAAGATATTTAAATAGAGGCAGCTGTTGTAACCCAAATTTTACGCTGAGATTACTCATTCGCATTCATATATCAAATTAGTTCCGTTCACATATTTGCATTTTTATGCGCATTTACATATGTTTTTAATTTTTAATTTTTATCAATATGTATATATTTTCTTTTTGTCTTTAGATAAATGATAATTTGATTTTTATTTATTTTATTTTATTATTATCATTTAATGAAAATATAAAAATATGTGTTTTATTTAATTATGTTTTTAGTTTAGATTTAGTTTTAGTTATAAAGAAATTTGTATGTAAAACAAAATTATTGTTTATTGTTAAATTCTCAAAATATCTTATAGAAGGGCTTTTTTGGTCTTGTGGAAAAACCTAGCACTAAATGTTATAAGTTTTGTTTGCTGTATCAAAAGAGGGAGGGATTGAACCAACAGAAACAAAAACGGCTTCTTCAACCGATATCACGATCTTTTCATCTGCTCATTGAGAACCTACTCTCTCCGCCGGAACCTCACTCTCCACACAAGCCTCATCCGCTTTCTGTTATCACCACCAAACCCTTCATAACTTACCGTCCTCAACCTTCAAATTCGCCGCTAGCCTCACAAAATACCCATCGAACAACACAACAATTGCGACACAATCACTCTTCATCTTCGATCAATTCTCACAACACCACCTTATGATTTGTTTGAACTCGATCGAAATCGACACCATGTTAGTATGTTTTCGTTTTTACTCTTGATTGAAGCTGCGATGATTGATGTGCATATTATGTTTCCATTTTTATTGCGTTGCGATTTCGAAGTTTAGCCTCGTTTAACTTTTGAACCGTATAGGCACATATATTCGAAGCTTTCGATCTGATCCGTGTCGGCTTCACGGCATCGCTTTGTTGGTTTTAACTTTGAGTGAAGTTTAGTGATTGTGTCTTGTCTTGTTGTTTGAGTTAACGTGAAAGATTCGTTGATGACATGTTAGCTTCATTTGAGTTATTTTTCAAAGATGGAATTTAATTGTGATGTCATGCTATGTCCATGCGCTTTGAGCCTATTTAAGGTGGAATTAGTGAATCTCTTTAGGTTTACGTAGTTTCTTCCTGAATTTCGTTTTAAAGGCTTAGAGCTTGTTATGAGCTTGATTTTTCATATATGGAACTTGAATTGAGTAAGAACATGAGTTTTTTCTTTCCGTTTTCGTTTGTGAATTGAGAATCATGATAATCTTTAAATTGTTTAAAGTGGAACATGTTTGAATAATGTATGCTTTTTTGCCGGTTTTTGAACTTTACATTTGATAATAGCATGAGTTATTGATTCTTGTGGGAAAACAATGGTTAGCGTTGTGTTTACTTGACTTTGAACATGCTTGAAACAATGTATGCAATGCTGATTTTTGGCATTTATCTTGAATAAACACTTGTTTCTTGGTTCTTGATTGAAAAAAATATTCATTTGTTCATGCATTTCGGTTTGAGTTTCATTTGATTTTCAGTTCACTTGTGATTACTAACTTGTTTGTTGGTTTGTGCAAGTTTCTCAAGACGGGTTAAGTAGTCATTTCCTCTTCACACCTTTTTATTCGCTTTTGATTGATTAATCAAATTTTGATTTATTTACTTGATTTTGTTATTAAAAATGGATTAGTTTATTAATTTATTTTTCTTTACTCGATTAATTAAGTTAATTAACTCTTGATTAATCGATTAAACTTTCATTTCATCTTAATGTTACTTTGTTGCTTTTAGTTAATTAACTAAAATTCCATTTAGTTATTTAATTTCATAATTAATAATTAATTAGTTTCGGCTAATTAATTTTTCTTAACTTAATTAATTAACTTAATCAACTTTTAAGTTAATTAATTAAGCATCCATTTTTATATTTCATTTTGTTTCATTTTAGCTTTGATACAGGTTTCTAATCCGCTCGGACTTGGATTTCTTATTTCATATGGGATGTTTAGATTATTCTTTTTCTATCCTGTTTGTTTGTTGGAGTTTTTCATCTGATGCAAGGATTTTTTATCTGATATCTTAATGATACTTTGAGCTTTATATGACACCCTAAGCTTTCTTGGTGCACTTTTCTGACTTGTGATTATTTTCACCTGATGCGCTTTATTCTTTGCTTTGAGTTTTATCTGATGTCTTGGGTTTCTTTGATGTTGTTTGCTTGTGATTTATTTTCACCTGAGGTTTGGTATACGCTTAGCTTTTTTTATTTGCTTGTGGCTTTAAATCCAAAGGGATGGAAATGCTATATTGATTTCTTTATATCAAGTATTAGCTTTTGTTTGGTTAGACCTTCTTTACCTTATCTTTTATCCTCATGTACATGGGATACTCTCTTCATCTCCTCTCATTCTTCTTCAATTTTCAAAAATCTTCACATCTTTTTCAAAACCTTCTTGTTTTCTAACTTTAACCACTTTCATAATAAACCTTGACTTTGTCAAGTGTCTTTTCAAACTTCTTCTTTTTCTTAATCAAACCTAAAACATTTAACAATAAAGAGAAGAACCATGTGTCACAAGTCTTAAACGTGTGTGGAGCGCTCTGGATACGAGGTGTCTGATTCGACCATCCAACGTCTCTCATGTCATAGTCTTTAATATGGTTCAAATCACAAAAACCTTTCAAAACTAAAAATACTTTAACTTATTCAAACCTTTTTGTGCACTCGAGCACCTTTTCTCCTTTATAACCTTTTTCCAAGATTAGACATGTTTTATTTATAGTCGAGATATCATCCTCCTATCTCCATGATTATAAAGGTGTCAATTTTTTCACTTGAGTGTCAGAGGCATTTTCAAACCCTCCTCATATTGATGCACGGTCCATCTTTCTCACACCTTATGGGCGATTAGTTGAGATTTCTCTTCTAAAAATGATGACTTGTCTCTTCATTTTAAAAAATAACCAACCCCAAGTTTTGTCCTTTTTTAGAAGAACTACGAGTGTATGTATCCTTTATTGCACGAAGGGGTACGTAGGCACAAAGGTTCGCAATCGTGGTGAGAGCAATAATAAAAAACACTTCTTTCTTTTGTAAATACTCTCTCTTTCATTCCCATTAGAAAGTTTAAGCTTTAGATAATAGACTCTTTGATTTAGAATAAACAAAGTGGATCCTGCGGAGTACCGTGGATGCTTAAAGTGTTAATACCTTACCTTTGCATAACTGACCCCTGTACCTTGATCTCTATTCTATTTCAATTTGAGTTTTATTCGTTTTATTCGCTTTTTTCCCATTTTTCCTTTGGAAACAATAAAATACGGTGACAACTTTTACTGATATGAGTTAAGTCAATTAATAGCTTAGTATCAAACTTTTACCACTACATTTTTGCTATAGTGCGACAGTCACCCACATAAAGTAACAAAATAACAAATGAACTTTCAAGCTGAAATATGAAGTAAACACAATGGTTGAATTGTCTCATAGTGAAAACTATGTATGCCATGAACTTGTCAAATCTCATATTCCATTGTCGAGGAGATTGTTTCAGGCCATCAAAGTAAAAGCAAAAGTAGAAAACTTCACGCAAGCTAGCATCAACAACACAATAGTAAGAATATGCGTCGACCAATAAATTTCAATGAGAATGTGTGGCATACACCTCCGCAATAAACATAACACCTGCACATAAATTCACATCCAGACAAAACACAAATAATGCATATTTCTCATGAAATGAGAATCAAGATAAAATCGCTCAGGAAGTGAATTCACAAATCAAATGCTTTTCAATCACATAACCAACACTTTAGTTACATGATTGAAAGCTCTCACAATGTACCTTGCACAAGTCAACAAACACATTAGTGATAACAAGAAACCACAATCGGAGTTATGCGTTCTCAATACAATTTAATTTATGATTAAATCATGAAGAAGTAGAAATTAAATGCACATTGGAAGTATAAACACAAACTTTGGACAATATTGCATTACAAAAATGAGTGCCCAAAATTTCGAAACGGAATCGACTCAAAATCACACGGTAGTCTCCAAAATTACCAAGAAGCTCCCAAAAGTCTGTATCGGGGATTAAATCATACTGAAAGCACAACTTACCATTACGGGGCAGCATCATGGTTATAACATGAATCGTTTCGTAAAACACACTGGAATCAAGGATAATCAAACACAATGGTTCATGAACAAACAATAAAGTTCACACATGCATCAAATGAAGGTCAAAGCTCAATATACATGTTATAGCGAACCGAATAGCACTATATTCAAAAATTAGGTGCATGAAATGTCAGACGGAATCGGCTCAAAATTGCACCAGTAGCTACAAACGTATCAACAAGCTCAAAGAAATCAAAGTTGAGAATTAAATCCAAGTGCAAGTACTACTTACTATTCTGGGAAGCCACACCGTAAAAACTCAAACCAAGTGGAATTCCAATCCGAAACCGAGGAAACTTGGCATAAATGTGTCCAAACATCAAAACCAAGTGCCTTGAGCATTAACCATTAACCAAGTGCAACCTCATGCTCAAAATTATGTCCAAAAAGTGGAATTAAACCATAAATCAAATGTTGATTTAATTTCCGTATTCATAACTTTTACATTGAAAATGAAAGTTTGTCCACAAAAATGAATTGGAAATTATATCAACACATGATTACTCCACAAAACTCCACAACAATTCCATAATTGACATGTGAACTTATAATTCGGTATTTAAGATTTCAATAATTTTTACCGAATTGAAAACAAAATTCGCATCAATTATGTAATTGCTCAACCTATGCCTCTTTTCAACATTTCAAAAAAATTCAAAAATTCAAGGTTTAAGCATATTCAACAATTAAAGAATTGAATTCACACAACAACTCAAATCATAAAATTTTGCTCAAAATTTAATCAACTATGGTTCAAGCATTTCATCAAACACAAAATCTTCAAGAAATTATTCAACCAAGAGTGACCTTAATTCACATAACCAACATCAATTCAAAGGATATTTATCCTATGTCACACTTAATCATCATCAATTATTCAAGACTTATCCAACTCAACACATAAAGTTCAAATAGTCAATTATCATAAAAAATCAATTATATGAAAAAGAACTTAATTCAAGAATTGGAAATTTACCGGAATCAAATAATTAAATAGGAGAATTTGATTAAGCTAGTCGAAATCGAATCGAAAACGCGAATCGGAGCCGGAGGGAGGGAGTCCGCGCTTGCATGGCGGCCCAGAGGAATTCGTCGGATTTCAGTGGCAGTAGGGGAGCTCGCGGAAGGTGGTCAGAATCGGTGGAAGAGAGAAAGTTGATCAAGATAATTTTAATTGAGTAGAACTTTTATGAATTTGCTTGAAATTTGTGGATGAAGATTGATGGTGTTTTTGAGAAAGTAGAGAGAAAATGGAGTTTGATCCTTGAGAGAATAGAGAGAAAGTTGTGAGGTATTTTTGGCAGTGAGAGAAGTTATGAGAGAAATTATGATTTTTTGAATATAAACTAAACTCTCTCCAATTAGGCCTTGGATTTGAATTTGGGTTGGGTCTTATTTTACCACTGTCAGTAAATATAATACACAATGCAAGTACAAAATGCCACATCATCATCGGTGCGGAATCTCAACTCGAGCTCAACATCTAAATTGAAGCTTTCGAAGTTTGTGACACGA